CACGGCGATTATGCGAGTGCATTGATGCCGCCGAGCGTAAAAACCATCTCACACTCGCGATTCCCCGTGTTTTTTCTATTTCGCCCGGCGTATCCGCTTTGACCTCCGACTTTTACCGCGTGTCACATTTGTCGTCCGCAGATTGCGCATTTTCAGACTGCGAAATTTAGAGTTGAGTTTTTCTTATTCAATTTTTTTGTGACCTTTGAAGGAAACAAGGAATATGTTCTTTTGTTGCTATCAAATAATAAGTGTCGAGATTCTTTGTTTAGAGCCATTATTTCCAACGTTTGTAACGTTAACCGACAATTCCAGCTTGTTAAAAAAATTGCTAATATAAAAAGATAAAATATTGTCATCGAAGGAGAAAAAATTTTAAACTTTTTTCGTTTGATTTTCTTCTTTTTTGATGATATTTCGATCATATTGGCAACTTTGTCGACAAGTTGGAAGTAAACATATTAAAGTTAACCGATGTTGGAAAAAGGTGGGGTGGAAGGTGATCCTTAGATCAAGAATACATTATTTTCTTATACTTTCTAAGTAAGTAACTTTCTGCTAGTTATTAAGCTTGTATATAAATTCGACCGCGTACGGCTCGAACAACCGCAGATTTGGGCGAATTAGGATAGAGATAAATAGAGAAGAATTGATGGGATTTATTGCACAAAGCGGCGCGTATGAATATTCCGTAAAGAATAGGCGGATCAAAAGAGATTAATGGAAATTCTGCGGAAAATTTTCAACTACAATTTTTGCGAATATCGGAGTGGAGGAACATGCGAATGATTCGAATTTATTTTAAATTATATTTTTATTTTCTGTTTATTTTTATCATAATTTTAGCGACGCCAATAACTCTTATCAGTATTAGTTAACGGGTAGCACAACAATAATTGCGTTTAACATAGGAGATAAGATAATGATAATATTTGGAAGAAAAAAAGATAATTTCGCATCGTAATTTGATAAAGAGAAGAGAAAACACATTTGCTAAGAATATGTAGGTATAGAAAATTGCTAAATTTAGAAAATTTTGATCACAAATGCAAAAATAGTATTTCAGAGTTCATAAAAACTTCAATTTCACACCTCTCTCGTGCAGGTAAAATCTGATTTTCGTCAATATTGCATTATCGTCATGAATAGCCATAAAATAAACCATTCATTGGGATGCAATGCGATTGGATCATGGTGGATCTACATCAATATGTACATAATTTGACATGACTAGAAATTTCGATATTAATTAACATTTCAATTCGCAGACAGAAGCGTCGGGTTCGTTTCGGGTGGGCGGGCAAAATTTAACATGGATATTTTACTACACTGCCGATAATTTATGTATATTCCCGTGTGAGATGTAAATTGCATTTTTTTCGCCTTTTATTAAAGAGAGATTTATTATTTATATTAAGCTGCACTTTTTATAGGATCTTTATGTAGGATGTAAATAACGCGTTTCCGTGTTCAAATCGTTGCAAAATTAATGATGCAGCGGATAAAATTGTACAAATTGCGTGCAATATGCAACGATTACAGATATAGCGCGCGTCGCGGGTGTCGAATGGATTTTTGTGCGATAAAATAAACGTATACTTGGGGGAATTGAACGCGGCGATATTTCCAATATCGATCGATAATCATCAATGCCATTTATAAAAAAATGATTTCATTACGATTGTATCGCGCATTTGGAATTTCGACTGGAAAACAAAAATGTTGTGCCGCAAAATTGTGAATGTTCCTGACGTTTTCCACGTTAATTTAATGTGCCGCGTCGCGCTGTCAAGCGTAGCTGCATCGACAACGCCATTTAAATCGTTCTGGCGAATCGAGTTAGCGTGTAATATTATTATGACGGTTACATTGTGAGCATTAATACGCGTACCAGTGCAATCAAGATAGTGCAAGAATATTTTTCACCGATTAATTTACCTCCTCGGCGAAAGACAAACAATAATTACGAGTGTGACGGAAATATCGGCTGACAAATAACAATAATTCTTTGCACTATCCTTCTAATTAATCTTGGCATTAAATCAATACGGGATATATTAATTGAGCTTCGAGCTTCATTCGAGCTCCCTCAATATAACAACAAACAGAATCAGGCAATATTTATGCAGGCACTTGTAAAAATATAAGATTTCTCCTCGTACGATAAATATTTTGAATAAATATTTTCTCAATTCGAAGGCTCGTGAAAATTGTTGGCAATTTTTTTTTCTTAACGTTTGTTATTAATTATTCTTTAACTATTTTAAATTTTGATCTAATTCTTCGTGTAAAAATCGAGTCCCTTTGACAATCGGACATAAGCTGCATCGGCGCTGGTACAATGAGTTATTTAATTGCAACATCTTTTCTTCCACGCGCTCTCAACGGAAATCGATTCCTTGGGAAATGATGGCGGCGTCTTATCACTGGTGAGATTAGCGCATCTGCCGCCGATTTCCATTTTGCGAATTGAATAATTTAACGCGCTGGAAATTCACGATGGCAGATGCGTGCTCGCATAACCGTCGTAATTGCTTATAATAAACTCTGTCGCGGTGCCTTCGAAGTGCGTATAACTGCGCGAAACCGTCGCGGTTGATAAGATGAGATTCTTGATAAAAAGATAGTGCCAAAAATAATGTATAATATATATCGATAAAAATAACACTAGGGGACATCATGCACGTGAGTTATTTTATGATCGTTGAGCGGAATATTGCGGAAATAATTGGAGCGTCGCAAAAAAGTTGAAAATTTCTAACAGACGACTTTCAAAATTATTTTTTTCACGATTCGCGATTTTATCATTCGTTATAAATTGAATTAAAAAAATGTCGGGGAGCGCCGTTGTTCATTTATATCTTGAATAACCGGAGTCGTGCGCGTTTGGTCAATTAAACGAGACAGCTGACACACGATGATAAAACCGCGTAACGCGACAAAGGATGCGAGTCGCGTGATAGTTGTCGCTGCCTCCCGCCGGCGCGCCGCGTATTTTTAGAAGTGTTTTACGAAACCGCGGGGGCGGTTTGCACGGCCGGATACGACGGGCGCCGATGGGGAGGGATCTATCGAGTGATAGTGGCACCATGACCTAGTCGTACATGCTCTTTGGGACGAAGGTTTCTTAGCAACGGCCTCGCCGCCGCCGAGTTTCGCAACATCATGAGAAAGTTTCGCGCCCCGGACAAATCAGCGCTCGGGAAAATTTCATTCCGCTGATTTATACGAGACGCGGAAACTAGTCGCGAACTGTTCTTTCCCGACCTAATGAGCTTCGCAAAGTAATTGAGAATGAGTGACGCATATTTCTCTGTATGCAAAGTAGTTATGGAATTAAAAGGGACGTAGATGCGAATGCAATATATCAGAAAATATGTGGAAAATTAAAGTGTAAAAAATTAGACACAGTTTATTAATTTCGTGGAAAATAATGCAAGGAATACAACAAAAAATTGAATTATTGCAGAAATATTAAAAAAATTTTTAATCTAATTAATAATATACAAAAATATAATATTAACGATGTTTTTAAAGTGTATCAAAATTGAAATAGCCATGTATTTTATGTTTCCACGTGAGATTAATTGCTTCTAAAGGGAAGATGGAGAGATATCGACAGAATAATTTAATTGTTAGACAAGTTATACGCCAATAATTTTAATTGCTTTCGCGGAGGCTCTACTGTCACATTTACGGAAACTGTACGGCCATTAGACACGCGAGAATTAACGTGAGCAGAGAAGCGACTTTTACGCTTGTTTGTATTG